TTCTGTGAAAGGCTCTCACTGGAGAATGAGATTAAGCGACAGGATGTGACATGCTAGGTCTTCCATTTCACAACTGGATTCCCTGCAGTGTTAGGATTATATTTTGATGTGTCATGGATAGACAAACAGTTAAAAAGTCAAAGTGAAATTGCTCACCTGACAATGAACAAATCAGACTTTTCAAAGCATTCTATTGCCACCAAAGATCTGTTTTACTAGGATGACCACAGGTTTACTTGTTTCTCAGTGTTAAGGTCAAACATCCATGACTGAATACAAAAAGGTTCCATCAAACCTGATTATCTATTTGGTGGCCCAATATATGAAGCACAGACTGAAATACTGACATGAAACAATATGGAAACAAAATCTTGATGCATTCCTAGAACTATGTAAAGGCTCTGCTATGAGTTACTTGTTACAAGTTTCAATCTTTGCTACTAGCCCCAGTGAAGAACCTGTGTGGTGCTTCAAGAAATTTTGTGGTTATTTCGCTATTAAGCAGCCTAATCCTGCACCAACTGGTAATAAGCAGAGGATCCAGAAGGGCTTTTGGTTGATTCCTTCAGCAGTTGATATTTTTCTGTGAGAAGAACTCAGACCTAGGCCAATAATGGCCTGAAGAACAAGACAAAATGAATGGAGTTAAGAGCATTATCTGATCAATTTCAAATTGATTTTTATTGGTGTCATCAGTTCTTGTTGTCTGCTTGCTCTCAGTCCTGAAAGAGAACAGAACAGGTAGGACACAGCAGTCAAGTCAGTGGAGTGAAGCAGCCAACGATGATATCACTGAAAAATATTACTGGACACAGTAGGGGAACAAATAACACTTCTAAGCTGAGGGCACATCTGCAGCTAGCAGCATAGCCATAACCTCAGAGAAGAACGAGAAGTCACACATCAGGATATAAGATAAGCAAACATCAAGCCTTGCATGCATCAGTGACACCACTGTGCCAAGAAAGAACTCATGCTGGCACAACTGTGATTCTCCAGTCAGGTATGTGATGGTGTTGGCACCAAAAGCTACAGCATTTAACTTGAGTGTGAAAAAAATCAAAGAATCAGGTAAAGCCAAAGAAAAGATAATGCAAAATACTGTCGTGGATCAGCATTGCAATACACCTGGGCAGCCAGGATAGCTACATCATTAAAAAAAAATGGAACTCAGGGAAACTGACTTTTAAGCAGAAAGTTCCAATCTCAAAAAGGCTTCATGAGACACCTCCTTCATTGCATACTAAGTCTCTGTGCAAAGCTATGGACCAAGGGAGGGGTAATAGCAGAGTGCCGTGGAATCTGTGCCAAGTCCTACTGCAACTTCCGTCTTAGTGAAGATGTAACGTCTCTATTCCTGGTACTGAAATGATAGACAGCTGAAATTTTAAGCAAATGACTCACTGCAATCATGCAGAAACATGGTAATAGGGTCTCACTCAGTTGTACTCTAATTTATCACATCCTTTGCCTTATGTCTTTCTATCATTGCACGGACAGCTGGTCTGGAAAGCAAGCTATTAATCAATCTCTGCTGGTCAGAGGAGGCTAGTGACAATTCTTATTCAAATCACTTAGGTTGTCATCCACATTTGCCATTTCAGCATGCATTTAATCTCAAAACACGTCTTCCTTCCTTGTGCTTACACAAAGTCTATCTTCACTGTCACACCCTGCACGTTCACAGAGTCCAGCTTCCAATTCTCTGCAGCTAGTGTTGCTACAATCATTTCTTCTGTAGCATCAAGAGCTTATTTCCTGACGGTGATTGCCTAGGTTAAGAATAATAAAGAAAAGAGGAGAAGGAAAGGGGAAAGGATAAGTAGCTTAGCAAGAGATGTCAGAGAGTCTAGCTGATATGGAAGCCTGGAAAAAGGGAGGACAAACTAGAAAGGAAGACAGAGATGTCTATGTCATTTGCACAAAATTAATAGGAGAAGTTCTGTTAATAGGTGAGTTGCAAAAGGGGAAAGGAAATAAGGTTAATGTTGTAGGATCTCCTAAAAGGGGAGGAACAAGAAAAAACATTTATCAAAGTTAACATTCAAAATATGATCACAAAGATGGGAAGTGATAGGCAAGCAAAGCATCTGACAAATAAATAAGGGTAGGCCTGAAACTATCAGTAACATCTGAGGCTATTGAGGATGCAAGAAGGATAACAATGTAAAAAAGTCCTATATTTGGTGAGGCGGTCACTAGAAACTGTGGGAAGAGAAATTTCAAAGATAAAGGGGGTGGAAGCCACAGTGGAAGATGTCCAGAAAATGCAAGGAGTAAGCTTGAAAGTGAAAGGATTGCTGGTCTTAAATGGTGAGTACAGAGACAGCTGCAACCAATGGAGAGTTTCTGAAGATAAAGGAAATGTAAGTATTCCTGTACTTAGTACTTGTACTTAAGTAGATGCTGCCTTAAGTTGCTGAAGCTTATGGAATTGGGAAGGAAACAAATTACATAGCGGGGTTCACCTCTTGAGAGAGATGGGCCACAAGCACAGAGGAACACAAGACAGAAGGGGAGTGGGAGAAGGGGCAAAAAAAAGGCACTCCAGAACTTTACTGGATTTGATCTTGATTTTGGTAACATCCCTCAAATACAATGTAGAAGCCAAGAGAAGAAAAATGGTGTATGGAAGAAAACTGAGTGATTCATAAAAAATCTGTGTTCACTCACTTGAATCTCAGTGCACTTCGTATGGAAAGCGCAAGATATGTGCAAATAAATAAACATAAGAACATAAACAGAGGAAGGGGAAAACAATTCTTATTTGTCAATGAATAAAAGTGGATGGAATCACATAGTGATAATACAGTATCATGCTTCAAGGTATAAATCACAATAACCAAATCTTGAATATTCTAAAACTATCTAGAGTGATATTTAGAAATAAAGTATAGAGAACAAGAAGTAAAATATCAAGAGTATTCAGAAACAATCTGGCAATTATTTACCACAGCAATCCCAAAAGGTCTGCCACAAAAATCCAACAACTTTGACAGGACAGCATCAGCAGTGGGCATGACTTCTAATCAGGAAGGCTGAAATGCTAGAGACCGGGTTCATCTTAGCAACTTCAGTCAGCTATGAGTGACAAAAGTTGTTCTAGTCAACTCTGAGAAGAGGCATTTCAGAGGTCAGTTCAGATCTTGCTTGATTTAATGTACTTAAGTAGATGTAACCTTATGACACGCTTCCAACTCTCCCTTACCCTCCACAAAAGCCCAGGACTCCTGACTTTGGCACCTATTCTGCAGTTTTGGGAAAGGATTACAAAGGAGCTCAGCTCACTGGAATTGTGAGAATTACAGGCCGAGTCTTCTGAAGTCCTATGAACACAGAGTGCACAATGTAATTTCAAAAAAGACACAGTAACTTCAGGTTACATTACATCTCCACGTAATTCTCATTCATCCACAGAAAATCATTACTAATTAAACTACCAGTGTGAACGAAAGCAGAAAAGCTAAGACTGCATTTGATTCATAATTTCATGAGCTATTTTTTCCTTTCTATTTGTTGTTTCTAAATTAGGAAAATAAGCTTAAAATGTACTTATTAAAAAGGAACTAATTAATTTTCACATTGTCCTTGGACAAAACTACCTTGACTATGGGGTAGGATTTGTTCAGCTCATAGTGTGATCTAGAGTGACTCTTGCGTGGTAAAAATTGGATATCGGCTCAAGCACTGAGATGATTATTCATTCAAGTGTGAGGTTCTCCAGCCAACAATGAAAATTAAAACTATCACTGTATTTTTGCTAATAAGGAACAATGGAAATTTTTGTCTCTAATTACTGAAATGTGCAATTTAGTTAGCAGTATTATTACTAACACTGAAGCACTGTCATCAAATAATATGAAATCTGAATGACATAAATGGCAGGGATGTTTTTAACTATGGAAAACGTCGAGTTTTGTTTCCAGCTACTTAACTGATGACCAATATGACCCAGCTTTTCAGTGCTCTTATCAGCTTTCATGTCCTTTAAACAAAATAAAATTTCAACTCATTCTTCTTTCTGCATACTCATATTACTGAATTACACCAAACATTACAAACTATTTGCGTTGTCCCTACGGATTTTAACTAGAATTTTCCACATATACCTATGTTCTGCATGGTCCAGCCTTTGAAGAACTCTTTATGTATACAAAGATCATGTAGAAAAATAACTTTTTTTATGTAGAAATAAGAAATGTATTAACACGTGGCTTTGCTCATACTAATTACTTTGATAACATCAAGGATCAAAGAGTCATTTCAAAAATAAAGCCAGCAATATCTAGAAAGGGAGCATTTAGGGTAAATATTACTCAAATGTTTTAAAAATATCATATGATATTTATGTACTTAAATATATAAAACTAACTTGAAACTAATACCAACCTTCACTACTGAAAAATCAATGAACAAGGCTTTCATTGTCAACATTGAAAATAACCTGCTGCATATAAAGTACTACGCCAAAATATCTCAAGAATTTAGATTATTTCATCATATGCTTTTCAGAATAGTGCAATAGTGTTTTTTAGCAAATAGGAAACATCCCTATCATTGAATATAAAATATTCAAGCGTATTGATGATCATTATTAATGATCATCATCAAGTAAAATATAACACTGTCAGTAAAACATCAACAATGCAAAACAAAAAAGGTAAAATTAGTCCTTTTTTTCATTTCCATTTAAGTGTTTGCAGTCTTCTGTAATGAACACTGATGGAAGCTGCGATACGCTACCACATTTACATATATATTATTAGGTGTGTCTAATCTGCTTCTCTGTTTTTATGTCTGAAGTTTTAAAATAACTATTTACTAATTTATTCAATTCAATATTTATAACATTTGTTTCTTATAAAGATCTATAATCCATTATAAGCAGTCAATGATGTCAATACTCTATAGTGCCTTAATGCTATAAAATCAGGGGAAAAAGAGAAAGTTACAAACTGCCAACGTTTATATTAATAATATTATATTAACTGAAGGCATACCCCCACAGACGTTGCCATCCACATTTTCACACTGTCGATCATCACATTCACAGTTTTTACCATGAACTCTGTTGTCTCCTGGAGGGAAACAAGTGCAGTGGCCACATTCACATTTCCCTGTAAGAATAAACAATTATCAGGGTCATGGTTTCAGTAAAATAAATGAAATGAAATAAAACAATAAACTTATTCTACTCCTTAGCCCCCAGATAAAAGCCACAAGTCACTCTATATTCACTAAAGTATGCACATAAGCACTCTTAGAAAACTTTCCCTCCTCCACGCCATCCAGCAGTGAAGTATATCAGTGTTATTTCCTGGTCGAAATAGCAACAATTAGCAATCACTGGAATTATGTCTGTTTCATTTCTCAGCTTTCCATAGCACAGCTATGGCACATGTTTAACTGCCCAATTAACCTCTGTAATTAATCTAAAATATTTAGTACATACAACAGAAACTCCAAAATTAATGTGACTGAAATTAAATAATCTATGCACAAGGCTATCTGTGATGTTCTCTCTATTTTCAACTGGATTTATAACACTTCAAATACTCTGACAGGCATTTGGAAAGCAAAAAACCTAGCATTTTTCTTGCCTAAACCTGAGAAAAGTAGGAAGCACAGCCTCTGCCATAGTCTCCCTTTCCATCAGCCTCTTCATTTGGGAACTCCAAAGAGCTCAAAGGGAGAACAGACCCAGCCAAATTCCCACAGATTTTCTGCTCCAAAGCCCTCAGAGCAGTGAGAATGGAATGGTCAAGAGAGGGAAAAAGGACAAGGACTCTCTTATTTTGCACATATACAACACAGGCTTAACTCAGGGTAGCATTTTTTCTGCTATTTTCAAGCTTCTGAGTGTTTGACTTTGTATTTTTGAAATTCTTATAAAGTAATAGTACTGTAAGAACGCACGAAATAGAACACAAAAGAGATAAAAGTAACAGTAAATTTGATGGACTTCAGAAAATAGATTGCATGCAGAAAAGGACCACCAGAGACAAGGATCAGGATGTGGAAAAGCCTGTCTGGAATTACTAATTTAACGGCAGCAGGAGTGGGACTCACCACAGGCCTGGATAATGCTCGACCTGATTGCAGAACCAAATTTACAGTAGCAGTAACTGCTGCTACAAAGCAAAAAATCCCTCTGAGTGCAGTCTACCATATTTATCCAAAAAGTTCAGTGTGTGCAACATTTTTTCAGCATTTGCTGAAATACTTTGCTGAATTGGAAAGAGATGTTAATGAGAACATTAACAGGGCTTTTCTAACTGCAGGTTTTGTGACAATAAAATGTTTTAGGTCAACATAGTGTCAGATCATTGTTAATCTATTTTTTGTCAACTTCTAATATGCTACATTTCTTTTTCAAAAAGCACTCAGTCTAATTGGGGGAGGGGGAGGATAGAATCTTATCATTTATGGAAAAATTCCCAGCCTATCTTATAGCTGCCCTGCTCTTAATCTTTCCAAATTTTAGTGCATATTGCGCTTTAGAGCTTAAACTCCATGTGCCAAGATTCAATCTAGAATGACAGTTTATGACCAACTCAAAGCATAACATCTTTAAAAAATAAGCGCTGATAAAGAAAACAGCAGATAATACTTTGTGATACCTTTTTAACATACAACAAAACTATACACTCTATTATCAACTATTTGCAGATATTAGTTGCAGTAATAAAGCTGTTACAGGAAGCGCATCTACCATATCATGAAATACACTAGTATCTGCGTTTGTGTCAACATTTAAGATATGGTTTTCTGCAGTGATAGATTTTGTTTGCATACATTCTCTAAGGAAATCTGCATTAGAAATTGATACAAAATCATTCCTAATAGTTAAATACACAGAAAACTTAAATGAGTCCAGCTTGTTGATATCTAGGGCTCCCACAGTTTCTTTATACCCATCCAGTTTAGATATCCTGGCTACTTTTACAAAAACGTCACATCACCAAGAACCTCAAAGTGCAGTCACGCTCCCATAGGCAGATGGGTACCTGAAGCCTGAATGACAATAAACACTGCTGAAGAGATGAGTCAGCAGAGACGAAAAATCCTCCAGACAGGATAGCAAAGGAAGTTTCTTTAATGAATGCTAAATTAATAAGTGAGAACAACCTGCGAGGCCAATGGCACTTGCACCAGAAGGGGAACAGCTTCCTCTCAGTCTCACATTTATTCATTTTAGTTCATGTGTAACAGTTTTACCAGAGTAAAACTGAGGAATATCTCATCCTGAGGCAAGCAGGGCACATTTTTTAATGAAAGAGGTACAAGCTCAGGTTGTCTTCTCAAAATCAGGCATGAAGGGGATTTGAGCCCAACTCTCTCACTCTTGCCATTTCAGCTAAGGAATAAGACATCAAGATACATACGCAAACAGTCTGAATTCCATGCCCATATCTCTGCCTCATATTTTCTCTTGGCTGCCTCCAGGCTAAGCTCAGGAAAAGATTTAGAACATCTGATTGCAGACCTCAGTAGAACTGAAAGTCCTTTCAAAATTTGACAGAAAACTCAGTTGTTTAGGTATGCCGGGAAAAGATTTCTCTGAACTGTTTTGTTGCTTTGAAATATTCAAAGATACAGTTATAGTAGTAAGGAGTACTCAGATTATTACTTCCTTCAACATTCCTTTTACAAAGGTTATAAAATCAGCACTAGAAACATAAGTGAATTTAGTGGTGGCACTAAATAGTTAAAACTTTGTACTGACTTAAAATGCATATTTTATCTTCGAAAGTACCAAGATTATGGTTAGATTATTTGTAAAGTGGGCTTTTGCTCATGAACTATTGTCTTCATAGGACATAGCAGATGTAAACTTTAAAGACCTAGTTTATCATCATATCAATAAACTCAAAGATTAATAGCAATCTGCAACAGTAAATTTCAGATTGGTTCCCTGGGAAAACCAGGAGAAGACATCTGCAGGGTGAGATCGCTTCAGCCATACTACTACACTGTCAAATATATCTGCTACTGAAATAACAGGAGCTACGCCTTACTCTGTGACCTTATTGCCTTATTCTCAGTTCTTGTGGTAACCATATTTGCCATACAAATTCAATCATTCAGAAGTAATTTGAAGCTCACACAATACTGAAGGGGATCAGCCCTTTGCTAAACATACCCTTTCTTTGTCTGGAATAATAGGTTTACCATAGCAACCTGATTATAGAGGGAAAGTTACTGCCAAACACATCCTAAATTCTCTTTAAATTCCAGAGTATACAGAAACAATTAAACACACAAGGACCATAATATTCTGCATCTTTTCAACCATCTGAGCAAGACCTACACCTTATGATTAAAAAGAAATAAGTTCACCTCAGATATTTTATATTAAGCAGCTTCTTCCCCTCCTTGCTGAACAGAGGCAGTAAATTTCATTGCCTGAAGACCTCAGATGAAGGAAGCTTTATGATGGAGGCTGTACTAGGTACTAGCATTGAAAAGCTTAATCTACTTATTGCAATGCAAGATTCCAAAAATAGAATAATTATAGAAGACATTTGTCTGCCTTCTTAGTATTTTCTCACACTCTTTTTGAATAATGCTTTACTCCCAAGGAAGTCAGTAGGAGTATTATTACTACTGCTAGATAATTGTTATTGTTTGAAGACTGAAAAAAGACTTAAGCTCAATTTGTTGTTGTTGTTGTTGTATGTTCTTAAAGAGAATACTAAAATCCACAAGTGTTCGATAACTGAATATGGATGACTTACCTAGACGAATACTTTTAAAGATCTGTGCCTTGAGGATTTAGCTTTTGATTTTATTAGCCATTTACTGTAGTACTTTTTTCATTCCTCTTGTCGAACATTTATGAAAGCATACTAAAGTAAACAGTGCCTAGCCTTGCATTAAATCTGCTCCCATGCAAACTGCGATGACCGTTAGCTGCATGCATTCAAACCAGTTTCTAGCTGGATTGACTGAAAGTCTCTTTTATATAGGTAATTTTCATTTAAAATTGTGCGAGAAGTATATAATTTGCAGAGTAAACCATTTTTACCCACTTATTGCCCGCAAAAATATCAGGAAGAAAAAGCAATACCTTTCAATGAAAAAATAAACACTGAATATAAGAAAATTCACTTCATTGTCTTTTCCTGTCTGCAACTCTTCAATATATGTGTTTTTTTTCTGTGCATAGTACTGAATCTACATATTCTAAATAAAAACAAATAACTAAAAGTAACTGGTTTCTTTTGTTTTGGTTTGGTTTTTTTGCATAAAAGAATACAGGGCCAAACTCCACCTTTAGCTTCTAGCTGTAACTATTCGCATAAAAAAATTAATTTGTACTGACTAGGCAAAATGGAATTCTGCCTTGTATTGCAGGAATCCCTGACTTTTAAAATGTAGGTGATTATTGGAGCTAAAGGACTGTTTCTGAGGTGCCAAAAAAGGGCGCCTCTGGAAGCAACTTTAATGTGTGCAAAAGCATCCTTGAAACCTCTTTAAACACCTGAATGTCTGTCTGATCTCATAGAAAGTATGAACATCTGGGAATTAATTTCTTGCAAGGATTTTGGGGCAAGCAGGAGCAATATGCTGCTAGCAATGTGAACAATGTCATCTGCAATCTCCAGTTATGTTAGAAAAAAAGAAGTTCTCTTCTGCTAAAAAAGCTTTATGAACATACTTCAGTACGGTTCAGTTTGTCTCAAATGTTCTGATATGCCTGAAGATCTGTGACAAAACAGTTTGATGAGTTAAAATACTGCTGGTGCTAGCTCTTTAGCAAAAGGAGTTCAGTATCTACATGAATAATGTGATTCTCCTGCTGGATTTGAACAGTCCCTTCTGCACTGAAGTGCTGTTTTACTACATCAGAGCCCCAGATCTGGTTTGCCTTTTGTACAGAGTGCTCAGCTGCGGTCTAAGAGCAAGGAAAATGCACTGTGCTCAATCACAACACTCCAGGCTCTGTCAGAGGTACCTGTGTTAGTGGGTTCGTGGTGAAGACCACACTGATAGGAATAGAGGCGTGTGTGAGATACATATACAGTTTGGAGTCCTGTCTCTGCTGTGTCCCACACCATAAGAGCCTTTGCAGTAAAGAAACCTTTCTACAAGACGTGAAGCCAACAGCCTGGGA